CCTCTCTTGCCTAGTGTGTCCTGTCCAAACTCATTTCCACTAATTTGCCAGGAATTGCACTGGTGTTTGCTTCCTATGCCCATATGTCCACTACCTGGATGAAAAGGACCATCCTCTTCCCCCTGCTATGCCTTCCCTTCCATCCTAAATGTCCATCTTCCCTTGTCCTTCAAGTCCTTTGTATAATCCTTGAGTTCATTGGCTCCATTCCCCAAATTTCAGTTGCTTCTTCTGCATCCTGTACCAGTGGATAAACTCTCTTTAACCACTGCCCAAGCAGGATATGGAGGCCCTGCCCCTGACTTGATCTGCCGCATCCAGCGAGGACAGGTGGAGCTCTGGGTCTGTGATGATGAGGACCATGGGGCAATCTCGAGGTCGGAGGACGTGCTGCTAGGTGAGTTGTGGCTGTCCCCTCCACCCGACTCCCCTCTCACAAATGCTCCATGCCCAGGGTGAAAGCGAGCCTGGAAACTGGAGACCTGTCCTGCGCTGCCATTTCAGGGTGCTGACCTCAAATAGCTTGTGCTGTCATGTGTGCAGACAGGTGTTGTTCCACCCCCTGAAATTCAAATTGTAGAAACTGTCAGTAGTCTTTTTGCCAAAGACCCCCAAGGATTGACATGGCCCCTTACTGATTTAATAACAAGAACACTTTAATACAAATTATTACAAGTTCCTCCCTGCAATACAACCAGACAGATGGCTCCTTTAGACATTACAGCAGCGGTGTTTGGTGGTGCCGGCCTTGTGTCCTCCGCTGGGCGCGGGAGATGTTTGTTTCTGGCTTTCCCGCTGTTCACGTAGAAATTGCACGACTGCCCCGCAACTCCCCAGAGTAAGAGCATGCGCACAACACCCTCTTCCTTTGTTTGTCCATTACTTTAATAACTTCCTCATGCCAAATTGTCTAATCCTGAAGTTCCTTACCAGCCGAACAGTTTTTCATCAGTGATAATTATGGGTGAGTTTTTAAAGCTCTTCCAGTACTGAAGTGAAGGACTTCCATCCTCAATTTCCTCTGTGCAAAACAGAAGTTTATTCCCTACCTACAGGGACTTGTTACCATCGTTCATTTTCCCTGTGCCGGATGAAGGGCGTGAGAGCCCAAAAACTTGCTGAAAAAGACACCTTTTTGTGCGCTTTTTTACTTAGTGCAACAAAAGGTATCGTCTCCGAACCAAGAGCCCTAGATTTTTGTGTAACCCGGGCGGTACTCCACGAGGTACCCCTCTCCAATTGAAGGGATCAGCAGGTGCACAAGCGCTGTGGGAGGTGTAGGGAC